GTCTATGAAACCTCTAATAACTATGATCGATATCGGGACAAGATCTACGACATCTTAACAAAAACAAAACCATAATGTGAATCCCTCCGGAAAGCAAGGAGGCTCACCAAAGCTAGCTGGAATGTGGATGGTATCAACGGAGCGTCTGTTGATGATCCTGAACACCTGTATCTACATCATAAAATGTGCAGGTCGAATGACGTCAGTACATTGAATGTACGAGCATGTAAGAGGAAAACTGAAACATATAAATACAGCTGAACTGATAGAAAGGGAAGACATACTCACCTCACCTCAACTCAACTCAATCCGAAAGAAATGGTAACAAGATGCAATATATAAAGCTTTTAAAACAGTAAATATCAACCCAAAGTGTATAAAAATACAATAAATAAACTATTTACTCTTATTTGGGAGATTCTCTAACCGTCAACCATTACTATGAGCTACGTGATGATACAACGTCTCGCCCACGCTGTCAGAACTGTCCTATACCATGCCGGGGTATAGAACTCCTCAATTAAGTGGATTCACTAAGCTATGCTTATAAGCAATAAGGAATCATCTGAAAAGTATGATCCTTTACCCATGTTGGCATACATGGTTTATGAGGATTTTAAGTTGTCAGAACTCATCCTTTACCCATGCTCATATGTTTAACATAACTCTTCCTCAATCTGAGATAATTACTCAAAAGATCCTCTTCAGAGGTGATGCTCAAGACTCCTCATAAACTCATTTAGAAATCATTGTTTCTCTCGTTTTAAATGTAAAGATATTACATTTGGGAATACTTAGTTCCCTTTATACTCATTTGAAACATACAAGTTAATTCTCCTCATTTTCATACTCATTTACTCAAGTCTTAAATCAAATTATAAATGATTGCAAAAGACTTCTTAAAATGACTCAAAAGAACTTTCTTGAACTTTCCTCTAAATTTTACTTTGATTTGAAGTGTGAATTTAAGAACTATGATTAGGACATAGGATCTCTCAATGATTAAGGAGGGCTTAAATAGTTAGTAATAAGAAGAGAGCGATGACACGGATTGAGAAGCACAGGCGCGGTGCGGAGAAGGATTTAATTCTTGGTCGTGAAATAAAATTTCGAGACAGAGGACTCTGTATCCTCTCTGCTACGCGGAGAAGGGGGTGACTATTTGAAGATTGAAATTTTAAAGCGCCTCTGCAACGCGGACCTGAGCGCATATTTTTGCCCTATCTTTTCTTCACCTCCCAAACTCGATTCAATTCATACCCAATGCAATTCCATGGTCCAATTTCATGAAATTTCATAAATCCAAAACATTTTCAACGAAACCCACACAAAAATCTATCAAGTGACTCAACTCATTCACAAAACCCTCAAAGACCTCCATTGTTAACTAAACTCAAGAACTTTTCAAGAACTCAACAAATCAACTTCAAGAACGAATTCATGGGTAAAAGTTTACATGATTGGCGTGAGGGCGAACAAACTCAACACTATGAAAGCTTACATACATATCTCGAAAGAACTAAGTTCTTGGCGAAAATCATCGAACCTTGAATGAACTCTTGAAACCTTCTTCTTTTTCTCCTCTTGAAACCCTTCTCTCAAACCTTAGCGTTTAGGAATGAATGGAAACTGATCTTAATCAGTTTAGACTCCTATTTGGGTGAAGAAAAACGTTTGGGCCTAGTGGTTAAGGAAAAGACCAAAATACCCCTTCTTAACACGGATGAATTGCCTTAACTAGACAGACTGCACTCAAACGAGCATAACTCATTCATCCAAGCTCGGAATTTAGCAAATTTGGCGGCGTTGGAAAGAGGACTCAAAGACCTTTGATTTGATATCTCATGGGCCACCTAACTCCTTATGTGCTGAAAGTTATGGTCGTTTGAAGTTGACCCAAAACTAAAAACTGAAGTTTTATTTGTACGGATCTCTAGTTGACTTTTTGAAGTACGAGATGTTACAGTAACTTAGTAACTTATTCACAGTTGATGACTTGCCTTTCCATTAAAGTAAGACCAAATATAAAATCATGTTAAGTACATGTCAACCTTGGTTGATGTTCATGATGAGAATGAATATGTTCTCTGCTGAATTCTTAGCACGGTTCATTGTTTCTCATGTGCAGCAAAGAGGATTATGTTGAGGAAAGTAAGTTAATTAGTTACTCTCTCCGTTCCATTCTATGTGAGGTAGTTTGACTCGGCACGGAATTTAAGAAAAAAATGAAGACTTTAAAAACTTGTGGTCCAAAATGAATAATAGAAATTTGTGTGGCTGTAAATCATTTCACGAAGGGTAAAATAGACATTTTATAGTTAAATTGTTACTTAATATAGAAATGTGTCATTCTTTTTGGGACTGACTAAAAATGAATGCAAGTCACATAAATTGGGACAGAGGGAGTAGTTTATTTGAAAAACTGAAGTGCATCAGCTATATACATCGGAAAAACTAGAATTCACTGTTGATTTCATTCTCCCGTTTGAGTGATTTCAGAATTTAAGATTGTTTGGTTTGGGGTTCTTGACGTGTGACAGACTGTAAATGCATCATTGTTGATTTTACTGCAGTATTGCCTCATCAGACTTATTATGCTTTTCTATATTTAATATTTATCTTCCATGCAGATGTGTGAGCAAGCAGCAGAGGCGCACAAGTCAAAAGGTTCCATGCACTCCTCAAGAAGGAACAGAATTACTTCTGATCCAAGTCAACATCGCAGGTCATCTGTGGATGCTCTTTTGGATGGCAGCAATTCAGCACCTTTACCGCAGGTATTTTTGGTGTTGTTTCCCTTGAAGGTCAAAGTCCAATTAGGCCTCGTGTTGTAATCTTGGCTGATGAAATTTCATTCCCCTTCTCTCTCCTCCATTAAAAGATAAGAAACCAAACAGACAGGAAAAACAAGAAACCATGGAATCATCCTACCCTCTTGACACATTCCAAGCTGTGTTTGGGACATTTTACTCTTAACAATAGTATTTTTTTTCAAGTGTGATTTGCTGGACCACCTTATGTTAGACAGATGATTGACTGAAATCTTGATTTTGTGTTCATTCAATGTCTGCTACCATGACTCCATGAGTAAACTGTCAATTGATAAGGGTGGTATAACGTAGTACTATCAGACGGTTGCTTTATGCCTGCTATCCCTAGCGTTAACCTTCTGTTTTGTTTTATGCAGACCAGTGAAACTCCAGCCAAAATTTTCCTTATCAACTGCTTATGTGCAATCCAGCAACCACTTTTAGGACATGAAGTTGCAAGCGGCTATGTGAAGAAGCTAGGTGTGATGATAGACAATCACATAAATGCTCTCGTGGAAAAAGAAGTTGAAGCTATTCTAAGAAGATGTGGTTTATTAACTAAAATGTCACATTTCCGCAAGTCATTAGAAATTAATGAATCTAGCAACTCCATAGCTAGGACACCATTAGCAGAACAAGAGGATACATCTCCAGTTTCTGTTGCCGAGAGTTTGAAGGCTTTATTTGGTCTCATTTTAGGCAGTGAAACTGCCATTCCTGAATTTGAGCAGATGCAAGTTCCAAGATTGCGATCAGAAACAAGTGTTCAGGTAGCTAGGTCCCTTGCCGAAGCTTATGAGCTTATTTACAGAGCTATCATGGATCCTGAGAATGGTTACACAGATCCAAAGTCATTGGCTAGACATCCACCTGATCAGATAAGAACAATTTTGGGAATTTGATAACTGAATTATACATGTAATTGTAGTACGTTCAGAAGTATGTCTGCTATTTGTATTTTTCACTTTTTCATTCATATTTTCTTTATACTTGTATGCGTAAAAAAAACTGCAAATTAATTGAATCAATTTATATCTAATATAAGTTTGAGTCGATTTCTATTTGGTGTGATTTTCCATTTGTATCACTCCTAGTGGTTGCTCTCAACAAAAAAAAATGAATTAGCATGCATCACCTACTTTAAGTTAGTTTGCCTCAAGTGAGGTAGGTATGTATTATCAGACATATACAAAATAAGCAACTTAAACGAAATCTACTACACGAAACGAATAAGAGGACCACATATGATTTATATAATAATCCCACCTACCAATTGAAAGAATCGTAAAATTAAAGACAAGAATTTTTCGAATAGGGACACATTCTGTCAAAATTAATTACTCTTATCGAAATGTACAATATAAGTGGAATCAAAAGAATATATTAAAAACAAAGTGGTATAAATGGATTGAATTGGTGGATATTTTAATTCAATTGGTTATATAAGAACCATTACATGTCACCTGATATTTAACTGTTTAAGTTTATTATAATAAAGACATAACATATAAATTTGCTCTTTAGTTTGACCTTAACTTATAATTATGCACCTCAACTTTGAATGTGCATAAGTTGATACTTAAATTTATATAAAATTGAATAAATAGTCACACGCATTCATATATGAAAATTTGTGTCTTATATGGTGTCCTATGTATGACTCATGTATCTACTTGTTCAACTTTATACAAGTTTAAGTGTCTACTTGTGCTGTTCCGCAGAGGCGAAGCTAGGTAGGGGTTCAGACGAATCCAATAACTTTTCCGTAGACCCTGTATTTGTACTAGAAAATTTAATAATATAAATGTAAATTAACTTGTTAACCCCTAACAAAATTGATTGATGGTTCAGTGGTAAAGAAGAGACCATGAAAATGATTTTCACGCTAAAGTTGTAGCTCCAAACCCCCTCTCTTTTTTTAAAAGGAAATTTAGAACCCGCAAACATTTAGTCTTCATTTCACCTCTGTTATTATGCACACTCAAAATTGAAGGACATAAATATGAAATAAAGTCAAATTAAAAAAAGACACTATTAGTATATTATACTATGAAATATAAATAAATAATGATTATAACTAGTAGAATTTTCTTACCAGAATAAGAAAAGAAAAGAACAAACCACATCAACTAAATTTGCACCTTTACCAAGTTCAGAAAGATGCAATTTTTCAATGCAAGAAGAGCAGTAGAACAATGTGAGGTTTCTGATCCCTCCAACTACTCAAACTTTTTTCATCCACAATTAGTAGCAATTATAATCAAATCAGCAGAAAAATTTTCAAATATAAGTGGTCCTGCTTCAAATTAAAGACCCAGAAAACCACCTACCCCTCATTAAACTTGGTGTACAGTGTACTATATATATAGGGGTGGGTGAGGAGTGGAAGAAATTAACAAAAATGGCAGTAGGAAATGGAGGTGAGGTATGGAAAGCCCATGGTGCAATGGTTTTGGTGCAGCTTTTCAATGGTGTTTACCATGTGATTACCACAGTGGCTCTCAAAGTGGGCATGAATGAAATTGTCTTCTGTTTGTATAGAGACCTTCTTGCTATATCTATTCTTGCCTCAATTGCCTATTTCCGTGAAAAGTTAGTTCTTTTATCTCTTTACATATATATCCCCTTTTTTCGTTGTTTGTCTTAAATATGCAAACCAACTAATGTAGTCTTCTTTTATTGCTAATCTACATGGTTAAGTTGTATTTGAAATTTTCAAAAACACCCAAAATCTTGTTTTTAACTTCTTTGACATTCAATATATTTTTTCTTTTTTCAAATTTACCCTAAAAAATTAATCTTTATAAATAGAATAACCATATTTAAGTTATATTTTGTGTTCTTTAGTACAAGTATACATTCAACAACAAAAACAACTAACTCTGTGAAATCCCACTTTGTGGGGTCTGAGAAGGGTAGAGTGTGTGCAAGTCTTGCTATTACCTCTCTGAGTTAGAGAGGCTGTTTACGAAAGAGGAAAAAGTACATTCAAACAACCAAATTCTAATATGCTATTAAATAGTTTAGGAAATTAGATCAAATAAAATCATCCCTTGATTCTGTGATTACTAGTTTGTTTTCTTTTCTCTACGTATATATTTGTATCTCTACAAACGAATAAGATTGTATAATTTTGGTACAAAACTTATAGTGTATATAGATGAGTTTCATCTGTACATCTCACTGTTTTATAGACAACTAGGTAACTAATTCTAACTACTTTGCAACTGTCACTAACAACCCTGCTGACATGGATAACTAACTTCTGGATCTTAACTAACTTTCACACTCAATTGCATATTCTGATAATATAGTGAAGTAAGATTCAATGGCATGATGGTGTCTAAATGTTGACAGTTCACATAAGAAGGTTCAGTTGTAAAGAGAATGACATGATGGATGAAGATGTAATACATAAAATTGAAATACGGGGGGTAGAAATTGGGGAGTGTTACAACTGTGTTATGCGATAGGAAAGGGGCAAAGGGCTATACCAAGTGAAACACAAGTTCCTTAGAATAGTTGTGAGATCAACAGTGTTTTATGAGAGTAATTGTTGGATTTCTAAAGATTAGCATATCAATGACGAATGTAGTAGAAATATAGATGTTGAGATAGATACGTGATCATATAAGTTGGAAAAGATTAAAAATAATCACAGTAGACAAAGTTTGCAAGTAACAAATTTTGAGAGAAGGGTTTCTTGATCATAGACCTCGGAACATACTAGTTGATGCAACACTGGAAGTATGGTAGTTGAATGTTTTAAAAGTGCATAATATAGACCTATCACATGGATGTAAATTGCCTTAAAAAAACTTACAATTTCTTGGAGCCAATGTGGATTTAACTAAGAATAGAACACAATGAAAGTACATAATCTGTTAGAAAAATTAGGAAATATAATTGAAGAAGAAGATGGTTTTGAGGCGTGAAGAATCACTTTCCTTAAAGAGATATTGCCTGTATATATATTGGGGAAAATACAAGCAATTCCCTCCAAGATACAACAACGACCTTGTATATACCTGCAGATTTTTCTTAGGCTACTTCAAGAGAGTCCGTATATTATAGAAGTTAAGAAATGACTTTTCATATTAGCCATGTTCGTCTGATCAATTTAAGACCTCTACATATTACAAAATATCCAACATAATCCATTTACGCTATACCAACTAGTTGAGATTGAGGTTATTTATTGTTGTTACATGTATATTAAGATGTATGTTTGATTAGAATGCTTTTAATTTAATTAAATATTGTATGTCACTGTCCGTACAAGAATAAGCAGGAGATTCAGAAAACCTTTAGCTTTAGAGAATCCTTAATTCTTTTAAAAATCAATTTATTTTTCAGTATTAAAATGGAATGGGCTCGATTAGAGCGCGGTGGACAGAGGTTCATATAGCAGATCCTAATTATTTTATGAGTAGTTGCTTGAATAAAATATTTATTTTATTGACTATTTGGTAGTCCAGAAACCAGAATAACTGAAGCAAAGACTATAAATGATTTTTTTTGCTACTCTTTTGATTTTGAGATTTGACTCAAACCACATTACCAGTTTTAGAAAGAAAAGCAGATTTGAGTGTAAAACCTTGATATAGTTATTCTAACATGTCTAGCTTTCTAATGATGATGTGTGATCTGGGTTCATGATGATGTGTAAGATTTGAGTTTGTTAAAAGAAAAGCATTATCATTGACCTGGTTCCTGTTAAAAAAAGCACTAGTATTGATAAGTGGTATATTATGCAAGCTGAGGTTCTTATAATATGTTGCATATTGTTTTCAATAAGTTCTTTCGATAAGTTAGTTACAATATTTGGAATTATATGAGCATCGCTCACAAATGTATGTTTTATGTTTCTTTATGTATAGGAGGTTGAGGGTTCCTCTGAATAAACAGCTTCTACTGTCATTCTTCATTTTAGGATTGACTGGGTAAGTTTTGATGTCCTACGCATATTAGTTTGAATTTGCTTTGTTCTACTTGATAAAAGCTTATTCCTGAAAATGTCTGTTTTCGCCCTTGGTACTGAGACAGTATTTACGGTAACCAACTCTTGTTCCTTGTTGGTCTTGGCAACACAAATCCGACTTATGCTGCTGCTTTGCAACCTGCAATACCAGTCTTCACATTCATACTTGCTGTACTTTTGGGGTCAGTATACAGTCAACCCCCTTCATCTCTTGATTTTGTATTTGTTTCCATCACTCCCATCTCTTGCATGTCCTGGGTGTTGAGTGAGCCTTGTGCTGCTTAAATTTGTGAGCTTTATAAAATCATAGTCTTCTATCAAGTGTCAAATGTTGTTTTCTTAATTACAAAGTTGTTTTGTGCTTTAAATTGGAGCAGTCACAAGTATTAGCATGATGGACAGACCATGGACGAGAATATGTAAGAGATATTATAAATACTACATGTAGTATAAAATATCATATAGCATTTGTTGTAGAATATATATAAGAGATATTTTAGAAACTACATTAAGTGTAGAATATTGGTTTATGTGGTGCTGTTTTGGAAACATTTGAGGTGAACGGGTGTCTTTGTTTGCCAAAAACAACTTAGGTGCTCCTTTATTTATTGTAACGGCTCAATCCCCTAGTGATATTGTCCGCTTTGGTCCTAGACCCTCACGGCTTTAAAACGTGTCACTAGGGTGTAAGGACTGCTTACTTATATACTCAGCATATTTTCTGTGTTTTGCCCATGAGGGACTCTTATCCTAAGCTAGGGTGTCACATTTATTTTAATAGTGCACCATTTAAAAAGTAATTTTATGATCAATGATAGAGTACAGGGTGTTGTTCAACTGTGGTAACACATATTTTAGTGGAAATGAGACGTACATCTATGATTTGGAGAAACTTTTATGCCTTAATTTAGTTGACATGCAAGCAGGTGATCCATGAGAATCTCTTGATATCAAGAACAATTAATGGAAATACAAGGCACAGGCTTTTAGAAAAAATGTTGTCTGTGAAGTAGTCCATGTTCCCTGCTTCTTAAGTCATCAGAACTCAGAAGTCTTCCATCATCACAGGAAGGAACATGGACCAGTCCATTGTGCATTTCTAGTATTGTCACATAACTTATCCGGCTCAGTTATTGACCTTCTCAACATCATTTATATTGTGTAATTCATGTGTGTTATTTATGCAGTACAGAAACTGTGAAATTCTTTACTGTGGAAGGTCAGGCAAAAGTTGGAGGTACCATTGTTTGTGTTTCTGGGGCAATTTTAATGGCCTTATTCCGCGGTCCAGCGATGTTTGGAGGCGGCACATCAATCTTCACAGCACAAATTGAGATAAGTTCTAAGGGTCAACCAGAGCCTGCTGGATGGCTAATGTCTAGTTTTCTGGAGCTTGGACTTGATAAGTGGCACCTCGGTGTTTTATGCTTAATAGGGAACTGTATATGCATGGCAGCATACTTGGCTCTTCAGGTAACTAGATAATCATTTCAATCGTTAATTCAGATCGACTTGATTGGAATAAATAGCAGACAGTTCTCAATGATTATACTGAAAGGCTATGCACATATATAAATTATATATGTATCTAGTCATCCTTTAAATAGTTCGACTGATCTTCCTTGTATATAGGTCCTTTCACAATGGACCTCCTCTAATAATATGCTCACGAAGGTGATTTTGGCATGTTTTGGGTGAGTTGCCTGTGATGCACTAGCATTTGCAGGGGTCCTTTGAATTGTGAAATTGGCATTGAGTGAATTTATACAACTGATTAAAACCTGATAAAAAGTTTAATGAACTATTGCTATGTAAAATACAGATGTAACTTACCTTGTAAAAATTATTAGATGTAACTTAATTATGTCCAATACTCCTTCCTTCATTTTCTTTCGTGTCTTCTTGTCTGGGGATATATTTTTCACTCACTGGTTCTTAGGAAAGGCTGGTAATGGTTTGTTGATTCATCTTGATTGTTGACTGGTTTTCACTTGTAGAATCTCAACTATAGTCTAGTGGGTTTCTTTCTTTCTTTTTCTATTTTCTTCTTTTGTTGGGGGTGAAGATGTAGAAGATGTTGCTTAAATTTGAATTGCCTTTTAGTATCACTGTTTGCTTACATGAACAGCTCGTATGTCCTAAAATGAAATGAAACCTCTATATCTAGATGGCCTTCCAATAGGAAGTACATAGTAAAATAGCACAATTAGGCAGGATTTATAGTCTAGACCAATAGAGGGAAATCTCGTTGTTCATACTCTTATATAATGTACAGACATATTTAATTGTTCCAAGGGACGCGCTGTCTTAGATTTAGTTCAGAGCAGAAGTTGCAACCACTGCACAGAAATGATTTGTTAGCTTGTGGAGTGACTTAGGAGTAAACAGAACATTAGGATGTTTATTTGGGGCCTTTTACATAGTTAAGTCAGAATTTTCTTTCCAAAGTCTTCAGATAGTCTAGTTCTTGAATGGAAATAGGTAGATAGGTGTACTAGTTCGACTGCAAGTGTCTTCAGTTCACTCACAAACTTGTGGAGTGAACTCTTCTTCCAACAAGGTTTGGATATAGTAGTTTGATCAGTGTTTAATTTTTGAAGACTTGTTATATTTTCTTCAAAAATATATGTAACACTCTCCAAATTGTATGTTACTTAGTTTACCTGTGTTAGACTTAGAAGAGCTTAAATGGGGAACATGGATGGTGGAGATTCATTTAGCTGACCCCAAGGTTCAGGAGTATGAAAACTAAAGAACCGTACTGGATTTATTATTGAACTTCACTCTTACCACCAAGTTTGTGTTAATAGATGAAGTAATCGCGGTGGGAGACTGTCACATCTTCTAAAAACTTGGGAGGACTTGGAATTAAAGAACTAAAAGTATTTAATAAAGCGTTATTGGGCAAACATATGGAGGTTTGGGGTGGAATTACAAGATTGGAAGGGGGTGATAGTGGACAAATATGGGATTACGGAGGGGTTTGGAAAACTAGAGATATTGTTTTGCCCTTCGGTTGTGGTTTGTGGAGGAATATCATGAAGGGATGGGATTATGTTGTGGAAAATATCTCACTCAAGGTCGGAGATAGGAGGAGAGTTTACTTATGGAAACATAAATGGAGTGGAAACATAAATGGAGTGGAAACGTATTATTGAAAGACAAATTCCAAAGTTTGTACAGAATTTCTTGCCAAAGAGACTTGACAGTCTGACATATTAGGGAGGACACTAGGTGGAGAGAATTTTTTGGGATTTGAGATTTAGAAGAGGTTTTCAAGATTGGGAAGTGAGTGAGTTTCAAAGATTGATAGACTTACTCCATAGGCAAACTAATCCAGTGGATATTCTCGATGTTAGGTGGTAGGGCCTAGTTAACAATGGAGTGTTCTCTGTGAAGTCTTTTTATGAGAAACTTGTAGTCAGGGAGGAGCACGTGATGCAGTATGGGTTCCAAATGTGCCGAGGTAGTGTGCATTTTCTCTTGGCTAGCTACTAGAGGGGTGATTTTGACAGCAGAAACTCTTAGAGAGCGGAGAGTTGTCTGAATCAGTTGGTGTTACATGTGCAAGGAGGAGGGTGAGGATGTGGACCATCTGCTTCTTCATTGTGGAATTACCATGAAACTATGGTGGCAAATGTTTAAGTGGTTTTTCACCTCTTGGGTAATGCCAAGAACTGTGAAAGAGTTGGTGTTCAGTTGGAAGAATGGGAGAAGGAGGAGAAGATGAAGGACTTGGAACATGGTTCCTCTTTTGTTGATGTGGGTAGTTTGGAGAGAGAGAAATAGAAGAGATTTTGAAGGAGTAGAATCGAGTCTCCTTTATTTTCTTTTGGTGGAAACAGAAAGTACCTTGTTGTATAGATGATTGGGCGGAGTTTGTAGAGAATTATATTTTGTAGAATCTTTATCTTATGGTATGCCCCATGTATAAGTCCAAATGTTTATGAATGAAAATACCTTTTGACCCCAAAAAAAAAGAGCAAATGTGTGGAAAATATAATTCCCTTTACCCTTACATGCTACCATTTCAAAAAAGAAAAAAAAAGCCCTTAACACTTTCCTTATTAAAAGTTATTACGTTCAGTTTCATGATATTCTCTCCTATTTGGTTTCTGCTCTTGTGAACTTTGATCTATCAATTGCTATTCATCTGAAAGAGATCAATATGCTCATCTTGCCACTATACTGGACACCTTTCACTTAATCTTAAGCATGTTAAGTTTTGATTTCGTCAAGTAATTCAGATTATATAAATTAGTGATCATTTGATAATTGGTTAAGAAAGATGACTTAACTGAACAATAGCTATATACTGTTGGGTTTTAACAGGAGATAACATATACTAATTCTAATCAACAGAATCGATGTATTAAAAGACTGATTTTTTTTGTGAAATAATCTATACCCAATAGGCCAAAAAGTATACTGAATATTTTGTGAAATAATCCGTAGAAACAATTTGGTTTTGGCTGGTTGCATGACCTCCAGTCAGGATTGGTACAAACAGTTTATTCAGAAATATCTGTGACACTTCAGATCTTGGGCTAGCTTGAAGGATTGTCTGGAACATCCTTGAGTATGTCAGTGTATGTGTGTATATTATTATGAAATGTCTGCAGAGTTGAGTGAGTTAAGAATTTTTTTTGCAGGCTCCAGTTTTGGAAAAATACCCAGCAAGCATATCATTGACAGCATATTCTTACTCTTTTGGCGTTCTATTAATGATAGGGACGTCATTCTTTGCGACTGATGGATCAACAAACTGGTATTTGACACCATCTGAAGTTGTTGCTGTGTTCTATGCTGTAAGATTCTCTTAAGCCTGATCTTCATTTTTCGCTGATGCATGAAATGAGATTTTATTTATCTTTGATCAAGTCTCAAAATGATTTACCTCACATAAAAAAGAAAGGCATAATACATAAATATGTCCTTTAACTTGGCTTCAACTCACATTTACGCCCTCCAACTTTGAGTGTGCACAGGTAGACACTTAATCTTGAATAAAGTTGAGTAAATAAACACACACGTCCTACGTGGCTTCCTACATGGCAATTTGCATCCTACGTGGTGTCCTACGTGTATTATGCCACATAGGATCCATGTGTCTACTTGATCAACTTTATACAAGTTTAAGTGTCTACTTGTGCACATCCAAAGATGGAGGGCATAAATGTGAAATGAGGTCAAATTAAAGGGCACATTTATGTATTATGCCAAAAAGAAATCTGAGATGATATACAAAAATTCAAGAAATGTGATACCAGGTATAATTTACTTTTTTTTTTGGTAAGTAAATATTTTATTCATCACCAAAGTATTGATTTTACAAGACCACAGCCAATTCACACATTGGCTATCTAAGAGCAAAAAAACAACAAAAACACCCCTGTTACTGAAGAAAAGCAAACTTGACTCACCTCCTAGGGAGGGTCTCTAGTTCCTTTTAGATAACAGGTAACTCAACTACTAAGAAAAGCAAATACACTAGGGATAGTGCTAGAAATGACACTGATGCAGTAGTTGTTGTATGGGAGTTGAAGCTCGAATATTACAAGTGAAGGCAATCTCCCTGGCAGTGCTTTTCATTGATCGACACTTATCTTCAAATACTCTTTGGTTTCTCTCCTACTAGACAGGATGTACATATTCTGCATATACCAGTTTGAAAACAGGAGCTTTGTGAGTCTCCCTTTGGCCTGCATAATTGCACAGTGCATATGATCAGTCCAGTCTCTTGGCCTACAAGGTGCTCTATGGAGCCATCTTAAAGTCTATCCCATAGACTCTTGGCGAAGGGACAGCACATAGAGATGATCTCGTCTTTAGTGTTGCTTGACAAAACACACACCATGTTTCAATTGATCAATCTATCCTTTGTGAGCAGCCTACCTTGGAAATTAAGCCACAAAGTGAAGATAGACTTAGCTCTTGCTTCATTCCTGAACATGAAACATTTTCAAGACACTTATATTGTCCCCTAGCAGGTGCAGATACACTTGTCTAATAAGACTCTTCCTGTTCAAATTGTGGAGTTGACTGTGATTCACAACACTTGTTTCAATGATTTTCTTAACATATCATCAATTTTTCTGACCCTTTATGTAAAGCATATGAATCGACTTCATCCACATAACATCTTGTTTGTGTGTCGAATCCCAGAAGCTCTCGAGTAGGACAGCCTTATTCCAGAGCTTGAGATTGATCAGGTTAATTGTTGTTGTTAAAATCATAATTAAGTATACGGTGCTCTCTCCCAACAACTTAACTTTTTTCACGAGGTGGTCAAATAATTTAACATGGTATGATAGCCAAGAAATATCCCTATAACTTGGTCCTTTTTTACAAGTGGAGTGATCAAATTTTCTCTTGAACCATGCAAAATGATCCAGATTTGCCCTTGAACTTTGAAGAACAGGGTCAATACTGTTCATACTTCCTTCCACTAAGTTGCTATTTTAATTTGCGATCATCAATGCATCATGTTTTAAATTAGCTTCTGAATGTTTCATAGTGGATTCTCATTCATCTGTCTATAACATCTCATCCCATATGGTAAGTATGTAGATGGACACACTTTTTAGTTGGAATGAAATGAAATAGTTTCGTCATAATGGTTAATGTCTTTCAGGGAATTGTTGCATCAGCGCTGAACTACGGACTTATGACATGGTGCAATAAGGTTCTTGGCCCTTCTTTAGTTGCTTTATACAATCCACTTCAACCTGCTGCATCAGCAATTTTGTCTAGTATTTTTCTTGGGAGCGCTATTTATCTGGGAAGGTTAGTGCTCTGATTTATTCTGAATGTATATCATGCTCCCAAAAAAACAAAACATTTATATCCGTCTATGTTCTCATATCTTTGGTTTATACTTGTTTTGTCACAACGAGAACCAAAAAGACATGAGGGTAATGTGAAGCTCTCCTGCTGGAAATTTGCCATGTTTTCTTTCTGATTTACTTTCTTTTGGAGATTGGTTCATGCGAAACTATGAAATGTTCCACTTGCTGAGTGCATATGATTTTTTTCTTTCCGGTCCATCTTCTAGTTGTTCGTTGTTAGCTTTTGTTCTAAGATATCTCCGTGCATTGTAATTGCAGCATTTTGGGAGGAGTTCTCATTATAGTTGGGCTTTATTTAGTAACTTGGGCATCTTACAGAGAGATGCTGACAGCCAAGGGAACTGTTCCTCATGCGCCTCAGATGACGGATCCCCTAATCCCATATCAGACAGGACACATTACCTCTGTTCCTTCTTCCTCAGTGCCATAGATCACTGATTAGATATTTCTGCAGATATCATTTGCATGTTCCTGTCTTGTTTCACTGCCAACAATTTTATTTCATTTACTATTTTTTTCTCAAAAGCACCAGATTCTACCAAAATGGTCATTCCACCGTCACTCGATTATAGAGGGCTGGAACACTCTCTGAAATCTATCTTGATGTGATGATAAGATGGATAGTATTCAAGGCTAGTCTATTAATATGATATTTGTGACATTGCTTGCTCAAATAGTAAGATTTAAGAACACAATTTTCTGATTATGCAATTTAAATAACTTATCTTGATAATGTTGTTGAGTTTATATTTCAAGTCTTTAATGATTATTGTATATTAACCAAATAACAATTGAATATCCTGTTGCTCATGTTCATACTCAAAATTGTCTAGAAGAATCATTTATCAAATGACTCTAATTAATTGCTAGACAATTGTTTGTGAGAATAAAATTTTCAATTTCGATATGAGGGCATGCTCTAATTAATTGCTCTAAAAATTTCATTTATGGCATTATGATTATTGTATCTTAACTTTAAATACAAGGATTATATTAGCGAGTGCTTATCCTTTTTCAATTCAAAAAAGATCAAGAAATATAAGTATTTTTCTATTTTATTAGACTTCTTATTATTGTTATCTAAATGATAATTTAGTGATGAATTAGTATGATTTTATATATATTACCTATATTATGAGTTTAAATGTATATGAAATTTTATTTTATTTTAATTGATAAAATGACATTAAGAAGAAAAAAATTACATCTTACTTTTTTATCCGTTAAAGAATTTTTCTATGTATATTTTTTTTAAAAGTAAATAAGAAAAATGTTCTTTAAAAACTATATTGTTATCAAGAAAAAAAATATACTTTAAAAATAATAATATATTTATGAGAAAATGATACATATAACCCCATAAAATAACAATATGTTTGTCAAGAAAAAATATTTTTGACCCAATGCAATAGTAAGATACATTTTTGAATCAAATCATTAAAAAGGACAGTTTTATTCATGGATTTCTTATTATTTTCTCAAACAAGTCACCTTTAACAATGGATTTTTTGTATGTGGAACAACTTTTAACCTCAAAATAGGATTAGCTTCGTTATCACTTATCACAAAATAGGGTAATTGGAGTGAGGAGAGGATTAGTCGTCGAACTCCTTATTAAAGATTTTTTTATATTCAAAAATTTATCTTCCATTGGACCACATTATTTAGCCATATTTTTTATATTGAGAAATCCGATCATCCACATCACATAATTAAACGTATTCCTCTACCACATAGTAGTGACCCAAGGGTCCTATAGCAATGGTACCATAGAGTATATATAGCCATATAAAAGTCAACAACTTTAATGGAATTTACTACACGAAAAAATAGAAAGGGGTCACATAGGAATAAATAATCCCACCTACCGGATTTAAGATAATTTCATATTGTCTCACTAATTAATAATTTTATACTAGATTTTATTCAAATACATCTATACATAGTTTTTGCGATTAGATACGCTGAAAATAGGGAGAGGAGAGCGAGAACGGGAAGGAGGCGAGCGAGATTTATCTATGTATCTCAAAAACATACAAATCTCATTAGATACATGTATCTGGGATATAATATACGTGAGCGAGATAGGAAAGTGGCGAGCGAAATAGGAGGGAGATGAGCGAGAGCTATTTATATATCACAGATACATGTGAATTCACTTAGTTACAATGTATCTTGAACAAGTTACACCTAATTTTGACTTGTGTATTCAAGATACATGTATCTGGACGCACCAGATACATGTATCTAAAGTCTAAAATCTGATAAGATTTGTAAAATTACATGCATATATCTAAGTAATTAACTTCTAAATTAGTGAGATTTCGATAAGTTACTCGTGAAAATCAATAGAAAAGTTACACACCACCTGATATAAAAGATGCTAGGTCTGTTTATTTTAAGGGCAAATATGAAGAAAAATAAGAAGACATCATTGATGAACCAATAGATTTTAGTTAAATTCAACTCATTAATTATTTGACAAAAATAAAAAAAAATGTTTACTTTTGATAAGTTTAGAAGATGAAAATTGCTCAAAGCATATTTAGGAGACTAATTTTGAACTTGCCCCTAATGTAAGAGATCATTTTTTTGTTATTTTCTTATACGGTCAAACTTTATTATAAAGTAAATACTTGATATACCTCTTAATTTTTGTCATTTAAAGTTGCTATTATCCTTCGTTATAAAAGTGACTTATATATATTCATACAGTTACAAAAGTAAAAAAAATTAATTTTAAGCTCATTTTTTTAATTTTAATTTTTTAGAAAATCTTGTATTAAATTTTTCACACATAAATTATTTTTTGACTTCTTTAATTATTATTATTTTAGTTTCTTATTCTTATTTTAATTATTCTTTCATCATTTAGTTTAAAATTTAAGAGAAATAAAAAGAAAGAAATGTGAATGGAAAAAGATTAAAAAGTTTTTAAAAAAAAATTAATTTTTTTTGGATATATATTGTAATTTAGTTTTTATATCTGTAAAAATATATTTGGGGCATCTATAATAAATTTTACAAGAAAATAAGTGAAAAAATAAATTTGATCATCAAAATAATAAATTCAAATAGCATAAAAAAATGTACGAGAAAAATCAAATATACCCCTTATATGGATTATCTTTCTTTTTAATTAAAAAAAATAAAAAGTAAATTTAAAACTATTTTTTTTACTTCCATTAGAGGAAAATGGTATATGTGAGTCATTTGTGTACCAACAGGAGTATATGATCACATTCATAACGAGAGATATATTAACTTTAAATAACAAAGTTGTTTATTAGGCCCTTTTCCCTTATTATAATAGCATTTAATAATTTTTCCGTACGAAAAGAAAGAAAGTATTTGTTTACTAATTTAATCAAGAAAAATTATTATAGTATGAACGTAAAAAAATGCAAACACCAGTAATCTTTCCTCGTTAACTATGATTAATGACTAATAGACATCTTGTAAATACAATTTTTTTCCTTTTAATTATTTATATTTAAAATTTATCCTGTGCATCACATTAATAATAATTATAATAAATATTTTAATATAAAATATTATTATACTCAACATCATGGCCGTTAGTTGTTGGTGTACTATATATATAGGGTGTGTGTTGAGTGCATGAAATCATGATTTTTTATTGTTCAAAAAATCTTTTATACTAAAATGATTAGAATGTGTTAAGATGACATGTGAATTCCAGTATCGATTTTTCTTTTAATTATCTTTTGTATATACATACTCTCGTTAACAAATGATTCTTTATCTATATAAATTCAACCGATCTAACATACACCTCAAGTTAATCTTTTTACTAGTAAGAACGTCAAGTAGAAAGGAACAAGGTCTTACGGCACGATCACCATATCTTTTTTCGTCTATCAAAGGTAGTCAACGTGTCAGCCATTCTTCCCCCATTAGACTTGTCAATCCTTTGCTCTTTTTCCTTCTCTCTTCCGGTTCTCCCCCTCTACTTTATTTGACAGGGGCGGAGAATACCACTCTATCAATAACAAGAAAAAAGTAGCAATTCCATTTCAAATGGTTTGAGCTTGGAAGCAACCTGCTATCTATCGATAGGCGAGAACAAACTGCTATTGACTGCTTCACCTATCTATTCTATTATGGCCGGCTTGGAGACATCACAGGAAGATCACCATCTCTATCCGGGTACGATCATAGCTTCATTCATTCGTTGAACCTTGGGGATCATCATTAACATTGAGGTCAATCACCACACTACCTCTATCATACATACAACATTACACGAAGCGAGAGTGCATGGTCAACACACACCTAAAGTGCCTACGTTCCGCTTGCAGCCAATACAACCACAACCTAACTTGCACGAGATTCAACAACCGAAGCTACTGATAGTCCCGAGGGGGTGGCATCCTCCTATAATAGTTAGCAGTACTAAACAAGCGAGTCATCGGTCCGAGGGTTCAATAACATTCACCTTAGTGGGGGCCCCAACACCATTTTTCCTTAGTAAATACTAGATGGATTCCCTATTGCTATGCTAGCTTCCTTGGGAATACCACCTTGCACTGGTTTAGGCGGTATCCGGGCCCTTTTAGAGGCAAGAGTCGACTTCCCCTTATTTATTGTGGTCCCAAAGGCGTAATAACCTAAAAGTTGTCCAGTCCTAAACAAGACAGGAAACCCCTTAGGCTTCTTCAGAAAAGGAACATCAAACGTTTACTTGGAAAACACGTTATACACGTATGATCCAAGTAAACGTCCAAACATCCTTTCTAGCATACCCGTCCGAAGAGTCAAAGGCCATCTATCAGTGGCAGACTTTAAATCAATCATACGAGTATGTTATCTCACTACGGTACGTTTTATATAAAAAATGACATTCATAACGTTTACATTATGAATCCACATCTAAAATAAAAATCGAGTCATGAAGAACAATTAAGGAAGAGAAAGGAAAAAGAGGGATAGAGAAGAGATAGGAGCGAAAGACTCCCTCCGGCAAAAATATATTTGTCAGTATATTTTTTTGGTTCCATTTTTTATGAGTTAGTTTGATTTGACACAACATTTAAGAAAGAAAGATTTTTGAAACTTTTGCGGTCTAAAATAAGTGAGAGATATTTGTGTGACAATAAATTATTTCATTAAAGGTAAAATGAGTATTTAAAAGTTAAAAATTGTTACTTAATATAAAAATCTGTCATTCTTTATAGATTGACTAGGAAATAAAGTGAATCATATAAATTGAGACAGAAAAAGTAAAAAGGAAGATAAATTTAAAACCAGACACTTTGGAAGATGCCATACATCATTTCTTGATATTGAAGGGGTTATTTTTTATTTATACATACTTTTAGAAAAACCTCATGCCTTCTCTGAAGATAGAGATCTTACTGCTACCGTCGAGTCTGACAATCTAGTTTTCTAGGTAAGTTTGAGTCTATTTTCAAATTGATGTGATTTCCATTGTAACATTCATATAGTTTATCAACTATTGCACCTATAAAAACAGCAACTTTAATGGAATTTAGTACACAAGACAAACAAGGGAGCCATATAGGAAAAAATAATAAGTTTGAATAGGGGTCCAAATTCTGTCAAAAATTAAGTACTCCTGTCCCTAATTATTCGTTCACTTTTGAATTGACACATTTATTAAGAAAATAATTATTGACATAATAAGTTTACCATTTTACCCTATTAATTATAAAGTGGATGGATTAAAAATTTAAGATTTTCAAGAAATTCTACCTTTATCAAAGTAATTAATTGAGAGTATAATAGGTAAAATTATTTTGTCCTTTCTTGATTTGTCAAATTGGATAAGTAATTAGGGACAACTAAAAAAGGAAAAGTGAACAAGTAATTAAGGAGAGGGAGGGAGTATTATTTTTGTCATTAATTATTGTTGACAAAGATAAAAAAAATGTTTATTTTTAATAAGTTTAGAAGATGAAAATCGCTCAAAGCAAGGAGACTAATTTTGAATTTGCCCCTAAATGTAAGAGATCATTTTTTGTTAATTTTAAATACATTCAAACTCTATTTTATAATGATATTTCATAATTTTTCTCTACAAAAAAGAAGGAAAGTATTTGTTAATCAATTTAATCAAGAAAAATCCTTAAAGTACGAATGTAAAAATAAAGATAGACACCACTGGTCTTTTCCTTGTTAACTATGATTATTGACATCATGTAAATACAATTTTTTCCTTTTAGATATTTGTATATTGAAATTTACCGTATGTATGACATTTTGATGATTTTAAGGAAACAGTAACACTCTTGAATTTGACACAAATTATTAATTTCGTCCTCAAATGGCAGCCGTAAAAACACCTTTCTACTTGACTAACTAAACTTAGATACACCTTTGATGCACTTCCGATATGCCACATGATATAGAGTGGTCTGAAACTCTTGTAGGAACATATAGTTCTTAATAAAAATCAAGAGAAGTGTTGAAAATACTTCTAAACTTGACGAGAATTTAAGGGTGTATTTCACTACAAGATCAAGGATGTATCATGCTGTTAGTTGTTGGTGTGCTATATATATATTGAGGGGGGGGGGGGGGGTTGTGGAGTGGATGAAAGAAAAATGGCAGGTGGTGATGTATGGAAAGCCCATGGTGCAATGGTTTTGGTACAACTTGTCATTGGTGTTTACCATGTGATTACTAAGGTGGCTCTGGATTTGGGCATAAATGAAATTGTCTTCTGTTTGTATAGAGATCTTATTGCTATATCTATTCTTGCCCCAATTGCCTATTTCCATGAAAAGTTAGTTCTTTTATCTCTTTACATATATTCATTCCCCTTTTTGTTGTTTGCCTTAAATCTGCAATCCAACTAGTGTACTCTTCTTTTGTTTTCTTGTGTTCGGTTTCTTGTGGAAATCGAGGTGCGTGCAAGTTGATTCTGACACCACGGTTATTAAAGTTACAATATTTAGAAAAGTTAGTTACAATAATTGGAATTATATGAGGATCACTCACAAATGTATGTATGCTTTATGTTTCTCTATGTATAGGAGGTGGATGCCTCCTCTGAGTAAACGGCTAGTACTGTCATTCTTCATTTTAGGATTAACTGGGTAAGTTTCGATGTCCAAAGCATGTATATTTGGATTTGTTTTGTTAATTTCCTTAGTTTTGTTATACTTGATAAAAGCCTATTCGTGAAAATGCCTTTTATTCTGGTATTCTGACAGTATTTTCGGTAACCAACTATTGTTTCTTGTTGGTCTTGGCAACACAAATCCGACTTATGCTGCTGCGTTTCAACCTTCAATACCAGTCTTCACGTTCATACTTGCTGTACTCACGGGGTCAGTAAACATTCAAATCCCTTCATCTCTTGATTTTGGTTTATATGGTGCTGTTTTCGAAACATTTGAGGTGAAAGAGTGTTTCTGTTTGTGCCAAAAACAACTTAGGTTCTCCTTTATTTATTGTAACGGCCAAACCCCCCTAGTGATATTGTCTGTTCTGGTCCTAGAGCCCCATGGCTTTAAAATGTGCAACTAGAGTGTAAGGCCTGCTTACTTATACACCCAACATCTCTTTTGTGTCAAGGTATAATTACCTGAAGTAGTGAAGTGGATCACAGAGAACATGGGCCAGTCCATTGTGCATTTCTAGTAGACCTTCTCAACATCATTCATATTGTGTTATTTATGCAGTACAGAAACTACGAAACTTCTTACTGTGGAAGGTCAGACAAAAGTTGGAGGTACCATCGTTTGTGTTTCTGGGGCTTTTCTAATGGTTGTATTCCGTGGTCCAATGGTGTTTGGAGACGGCACATCAGATTTCACAGCACAAATTGAGATAAGTGCTAAGGGTCAATCAGAGCCTGCTGGATGGCTACTGTCTAGTTTTCTGGTACTTGATAATTGGCACCTCGGCGTCTTATGCTTAATAATGAACTGTATGTGTGTAGCAGCATACTTAGCTCTTCAGGTAATCATTAATTTGGATAGACTTGATTGGAATAAATAGCAGACCGTTCTCAACGATTATACTGAAAGACTATGCACGAAAACAAACTAAACATACTGATATGAAATGTATCTGAGTAAAGAAATTTTTGCAGGCTCCAGTTTTGATAGAATACCCGGCAAGCATATCATTGACAGCATATTCTTACTCTTTTGGCGTTGTATTAATGATAGGGACATCATTCTTTATGACCAATGGATCAACAAGTTGGTATTTAACACCATCTGAAGTTGTGGCAGTGTGCTATGCTGTAAGTCCCAATCTTCATTTTCGTTGATGCATGAAATGAGTAGAAAATATAATGGTTAGTGTCTTTCAGGGAATTGTTACATCAGGGCTGAACTACGGACTTATGACATGGTGCAATAAGGTTATTGGCCCTGCTTTAGTTTCTCTATACAGTCCGCTTCAAGCTGTTGCAACAGCAATTCTGTCTAGTATTTTTCTTGGAAGCGATATTTATCTGGGAAGGTTAGTGCTTCTGACTTGCTTTCTTTTATAGATTGGTTATGATCTTTCATTTTTACATTCCATCTTCTAATTATTCATTGCAGCATTTTGGGAGGAGTTCTCATTATAGCTGGGCTTTATTTAGTAACTTGGGCATCTTACAGAGAGATGCTGGCAGCCAAGGGAACTGTTCTGACGGATCCCCTAATTCCACATCAGATCATAGGACACATTTCCTCTGTTCCTTCTTCTTCTTCGATGCCAAAGATCAATGACTAGATATTGCTACAGATATCATTTGCATCTTCTTTATTATATATATAAGTTCACTGCTAAACAGAATGACAGATATGTATCAAGCTATGAAAGTTAACTTCGTTCTACTAGAACTTTAGTCTTTACAATCCCAAAATAGTTTAGTTTGTAGTCATCATTGATATTCCTTCACAAGAGAATCTGAGTTAAACAAAACAAGAAAAACATATATAGTTGCAATCTACGATTGGCAGTTGCACAGTAACATAGACTCAAAATGGTCATTCCACCGTCACTCGATTACAGAGGGTTAAAACTCTCTCTGAAAGCCGGCTCTGTTGATGCAATTGCTTGTTCAAATAATAAGATAACACAATTTTCAGACTATGCGATTCACTTAATCCGTTTTGATGATTTAGGTGAATTTACATCTCAAGTATTTAATGATTATTGTATGTCAAATGGATAGCAACGGAACATCTTATTGCTCATGTTCGTATTAAAAATGGTCTAGAAGATTTATTTATCAAACATCTCCAATTAATTGCTATGCCATTACTTCTGAGAACAAAAATTTCCATTTTATATTAATTAATAATATTATTTACTCTCAACATTCATTAGCGCATTGAAAATAGTGGGATAGATTAATTTAACTATATACTACAAATTAGCTAGCAGAATTGTTTATTTATTTTTAAATGTGAACTGCAACACTAAAGGTTTATGACATAAAATCATCATTTAACATTGGCATAATACATAAATGTGTCATTTAACTTTACCTTATTTTATATTGACATAACACATAAACATGCCCCTTAACTTGACTTCAGCGGACAACTATGCCTTCCAACTTTGAGTGTGCACAAATAGACACTTAAACTTGTATAAAATTGAACAAGTAGACACACTTGTCCTACATGGCACAATACACATAGGATGCCACATAGGACACAAATTTGTCATGTAGGGTGTCATGTACGTAGGATGAATGTGTCTATTTATTCAATTTTATACAAGTTTAAGTGTTTACTTGTGCACATCCAAAGTTAAAGGTCAAAGTTGAAGTTGTCAGCTGACGCCAAGTTAAGGGTCATATTTATGTATTATGCCTTTTATATTTATGCCCTTCAACTTTGGTTCTGCACAAGTAGACACTCAAACTTGTATAAAGTTGAATAAGTAGACACACGAGTCCTACGTGACATAAAACACGTAGGACACCACGTAGGATGCAAATTTCCATGTAGGATGTGTGTCTCTATTTGTACAATGTTATACGAGTTTAAGTGTCTGCTTGTGCACGCCCAAAGTTGAAGGGCATAAATGTAAAATGAGGCCAAGTTAAAGGGCATATTTATATAGGAAAAATCACCCCATATACACATTTAAGAGTCAATATTACAGGTTTTAAATCTACTTTTAAAAAATTCTTGTTTATAACAGTTTAATTACGGGTTATATCACTAATTATTTATAAATTAATTAAATTTTACTTTATTAAATAAGTAATTTTTTATAATTTTATATTATTATTAAATTATTTAAATAAAGAATATCCCATAATTATCTCTTACACAATTATAAGAATTTTACATTGATTACACTTTCTTATTTAATGTTATACTCATAACCTCCCATTAGTCAATCCCACCACCCTTCCCCCACACATATCCAACTATACACACTATCACCCCACTTTCACCTTCTTCTCTCCCATTTTTCTCACCAGCCAACCACACCAACATTCAATCTTTCGTCCAAATTTTTTTTCAACAAAATTATGTCTAAGAAACCCACTGAAACGCCTCAAAAGAGTCCCAGATTGGGTAAAGGAACATCTAATGATGATGTTCATGTTTCAAATTTTAATATATTAACTCAACCCCCTCCCCCCACCCCCCCCCACCCCGCTCCCTAGCCTAAAATTGTTGAAAATTCGGCGAATATTCAAAATCCGACGACGGATGGTTCATCTAAGTTGAAGGAGCGACAAAGAGAGAAAAAATGAAGAAAAAAAAGGTCACCCCTGCAAATCAAAAGGGAAAGAAGAGGAAGGGGAAAATTGTTGAAACCCCTTTTGATTCCGATTTTGATTTTGTTACTGAAATAAAAAAGAAAAAAGAAAAAAAAACAAATGTAGAAGTTGGAGCATCTTCAAAACCATCAACAAGAAGAACAACAAAAAGTTATTTTTTTTTAACTTTTGGACAATTTTTGTGTTTAAGTATTTGATGATATATAATATCATATGTTTTCTTTCAGGTAGATACCGTTTACATATGAATTACTGATTGCCTATTACAATTTCAAGATACTATTTTGAAAATATCAGTGTGTTTCCAAACTATACATTTATTAGATGAAATCTGTTTTTGGATGAAACGTGTATGATATCTGATTAATACGTGTATGCCTATGAGTTTAATATTTTATTGTTGGATATTGTATGAATTGTGATATAATATTGATATACAAATGGTATAAATTGTGTGATTATATGAATTTATCAATTTTTATACATGTTGTTTGGATAAAACGTGTATGAAATTTTGATTAATATGTGTATGACACTAACTGAAGTTAGTGTGGGAATGAAACACTAACTGCAATTGTTTTAAATTTATTTATAGTAGGACACCAGTTGAAAACCAAATTAATATTCATGTAAACTTACATTAAATTAAATACTCGGGATATCATAATTACCTTTATAATTATCACTAATATTTACACTATCTTATGTATTAAGCTGGAATTTTTTTTATTTTTAACAGTATGCAATCTATATGATTAATGAATGAATAGTGTATAAAGAATGAATGGTATATTAAACACTAAGTTTATAATGCACTTCAAACCAATTATGTTTCATATCAAAACAAAACATTAATTTAAACGACAAAATAAAATAAAAATTATATATAGTCTAAACAAATAAACAGTCATTAGTTTTGCACAGGATAATTTGAACATGCTTCATGTTGTGGCCAACTTGACAACATCTACTGCAAGTAACTTTGGACCTTTTGAATTTCACATCAGCAACCCTCTTTCATATATAATTCATTTCATTTGAAAATCAACATAATTTTCTGTTTCATTAAAAAAAAATAACAATTAGTCTAACATTATACAAATCAATTAGAAATATGTTAAATAATATTAACTTTTCATTCCAAAGACAATACAAATTTCATCCATAAAAATCATTATAATAACAACAAAATTATACACACTCGTCATTATTTTTTCATACAAATATCATTCAGACAGTACATTACAAAACAAATTTCATACAAAATATAATATTTCACATTTAATACTCACTTAATACACATTTCATACAACAATCATCATTCATACCAAATTTATACATTTTCATACTCATTTAATATACATTTCATACAAAACGATTATTCATTCAAACTATATACATTTCTCGTCCCAAATAATTAATTATTGTCACCAACTTTATACAGAAATAATAAAACTAATATAAACTCAACAATTTCACATTTTTTTTGTTGAAAATTGAAGAGAGAAACGTTGAATCTTTTTTGTTGTAAATTGAAGAGAGAGAAACATTGAAAAAAGAAGAAGATAAAATTTGAATTTTTATTTGATTTTAATTGATTTGAGTGAATTAAGGATACTAAATAATCTTAATTAGTTTAAATCCCTTCATTCGTGCTATTTAATAATTATCTACAAAAAAAATTATATGATCTGATTTTTTAGTTTATCTTAACTGATTTTGAGTGAATTAAGGATAAAAAATATTGTTAATTTGTTTGAATCCCTTATTTCATGTTAATCATTAATTATCTACAGTAAATTCAAATTAAATTACAGGCCACACTTTCAGTTTTTTACTTTATTGTCTCTAATTCCGTTTTTTTTTTAAATTTTTGTTTATCTTTTCTTTTTCTTTTTTAACTTTTTTCGAATTAATAAAAGCATTTCTTTTATTTGTGAATTTGTTATAACCTGAAATTTTTAATGTTATAGCTTGAAAGTCTAAATCTACTGCTATAGCCTGAAAATAGTACTATAATATATGTCATATATGAAATTTACACATTTATATATCATGCCTAGAGCAGTCAAAATGGGCTTAGCCCATAGGGCCGGCCCAACCCTACCCGTTATTGGGGTAGGGTTTGGGATAAGATTTTTCAAGTCCATTTAAAACTCTGGCTTATAAGCTCGGCCCATATAAGCCTTTGGCCCTTGAGGCTTGATTGGGGCTAGGCCAGGGTCGGCCCGTGGGCCAAAACTTTTTATTCAAGCGTAATTTACAATAATCTCACTAGTATATAATCTAATAATTTGAATACACGTTATGCTGTAATATTATGAATTTTCGTACCTAGATACATGTATCTCGTAATATATGGACTCAAAACTAGGTTAATTTATTCTAGATACACTCTATCAAAGTAGATTAGCATGTATCTAGGATACATATACAAATCTCGCGCCTTCGCTTCCCTCCTATCTTGCTTGTCACTCTCTTATCTCACTCGTATGCGAGATACATGCTAATTACACTAAATTTTTGCTAGTGTTATCGAAACAACATTGCCATATTTGATTTGAAAATCTTCTCATTTTCTTGATGTTATAGAATTACAAGTTTAAAAAGAAGAAAAAAAAAAGGGCTAGCCCGCCCCAGCCCTCTGCCCTTCTAGGATTGGGTTGGATTGAGCTTTTTCAGGCCATACCCAATGAAGGCTCAGCCTGCCCTAGCCCAAATTCCTTGGCTCTCAAGGCTTAAGCCTGCCCTTTTTGACAGCTCTAAAGAGTCCGGAGCCAAAAGGGAAAAAAAATTGCCAAAAATTTCAGAATGACACATCATATTTTTTTAAAATCAAAATGGCAAAATCGCTCCTGCCGGAGCAATTTTCCTCAGACACATATTAACGCCGTGTACTCTGTTAAAATAAAATCGCTGCCAGGGCAGCGATTTTTGTCCATTTTTTTCCCACTAAAATCGCTGGCACAGCAGCGATTTTTTACCTTTAATTATTTTTCCTCCAACTAATAACGTTGCTATGGTGGCGTTTTCATAGAAAAAAAAAATTGGTAGCATTTTTCTAAAAACTTTTTTTTGGAAAATTGCTGCCTTGGCAGCGTTTTCCTTAAATTTTATTTTATTTTTGAAAATCTTTTCTTAACTTTTTTTTAAGTTTTATGAAAAAACAATTCTTTTTAAAAAAAATTGCTGAGAGGGAGCCTGATTCCACCCAAAAATTTGGATTCGATGTAAAAATCATCAAAATGAGGCACGAATTTTAATCGGTGTCGAATTAGGTTGCCTTCTCAACGATTTTTGTAAAAAAAATTATTTTTTTAATAAAAATGCTGCCTTGTTTTCAAAACGAAAAAAAATTAAGAAAAACGATTTTAAAAAAAAATAAAAATTGAAGAGAAATGAATTTTAAAAAAAGAAAAAAAATTAACTAAAAAGCTGCCAAGGCAGCAATTTTCAACCATTTGGCAGCTTTTTTATAAAAAATATATATATATCTTGAAATCGCTACCTTGGCAGCGATATTGGTGGAGCTAGTTTTTTTTTTTTTTAAAATCGCTGCCTTTGCAGCGATTTTTGTAGTAATATTATTTTATTTTATTTTATTTTTTGAAATTTCTGTCAACAAGTCAACATCTAAATTTTTATTTTTTTTAAATCAGCGTTTTTGCGATTTAAAAAAATAATTAAAATCACTGCTATTACAACGTTATTATAAAAGCAAATTTATTTTATCTTTTTGGCGTTAATTATTTTTTTCTAAATTGTTGCTGTTGCAGCGTTATTATAAATTTTGTGAAATTTTTTTTTTCTTTTAGAAATCGCTGCCTTGGCAATGCTTTTGGTGGAACTATTTTTTTTAAAAAAATAAAATTCTTTTGATTTTTTTTTTTTCAATTTCCATCAACTAGGCAACATCTAATTTTTGAAATCGCTGCCTTTAGTGAAGAATTTTTTTTTAAAAAGAAATATCTCTTCTGACGCAGCGATATCTTAAATAAAAATTGTCATATATATTCATGATCATTATTTGAATTGGAGTGTGCCAGATTACAATATGGGAGAGCCTAGCCATGCTTCCATGCACTTGAATTCTTTTTAACCGGAACCAACTGATAGGTAAAAAATGTAATGTTTTCTCATTTATTAGAATTAAATTTTTTTAATATGCAATATATTTATATTATTATATTTTATAGGTGTGACCAACTTCAAGATGCAGTGAATTATTGTACACAAATTGTGAATAATAATATTATGGGTGATGAACGAGTTGGTGAGTTGCATAGTGATGAACCTTTTGAGCATGAATTAACCGACAATGATGAAATGTATGAGGATGATGATGATGATGATGTGGATGATGCACCTAATGCACCCATTGAAGATCAAAGTATTAATCATCATTCTACAGTGATTCCATACTTAGATCACATTGAAGAAAGTGCAGAAGATTTTATCTATACAAGAGATGATGGTTCTATCCAAACGGCACTTTGGAATCCGAACAATCCTAAATATATTCAATCAGGTTCGATTGTTGCAAACTAAATATTTTATTGTTATTTATTTATTTATTATTGATTAATCTAATTTGTATATACAACTAGGTATGCTATTTATGAATAAGAAGCAAGTGAAATCTGTCGTAAGAGCATATAGTCTTACAATAAAAAAAGAATTTCTTTGTGATCAATCCAAGAGTAAAAGTTGGAGAGTTATTTGCAAGCGTTATGAGTTGGGGTGTAATTGGATGATTCGCTTTAGAGAGATTTCAAGTGATATATGGAAGGCAGGAAAAATGATTGAACCGCATACTTGTCTTACAGATAATTATACGGAGGATCATTTCAATTTGAATAGTAACATGATTCTCACTTCATTGATACTATTTGTTATGCAAAATTCAGACATAAATATTAAGATGATCCGTGAAATCATCAAAGGAAAGCAGCACTATACTCCTAGTTATAAAAAAGCACAAAAAAGTCGGAGAAAAGCATTTTAAATGGTTTATGGTGATTTCGAAAGTTCATTTAAGACATTACCTCGATACATGGCTGCACTACAATTATTCAATACAGGCACTATTATTGAGTGGGAGCATCATTCTACAACAATGCAAGGTGAACAAATCTTTAAATTTCTTTTTTGGGCTTTTAAACAGAGCATTAATGGTTTCTATAATATGAAACTGTTAATTGCGGTTGGGATTGATGCCAATAGAAATATTTTCCCACTTGCATATGCTTTAGTTGCACGTGAGAGTTTTGAGTCTTGGTCGTGATTTCTCAAGTTATTATGGACACATGTTGTTTGTGAACGACAAGGAATTGGCCTCATTTCTGACCGTCATCAAGGAATCTTGCAATGTATTCAATCTTATGATTGGTTGAGTCCACCCAACACATACCATAGATTTTGTGTTCGACACTTAAAAGCAAATTTTAATAAAAAATTTGTAAATAGTGAACTCGAGAAATTAATGTGGTTGGCTGCTACAGAGCACCAGAAGAAAAAGTTTGTGCAACGGATGCAACAAATTAAAATATTATCTCCTGCAGCATATGAATGGTTAAATGATTTTCCTTTGAAAAAATGGACAATGTATAAGGATGGTGGTCGTAGATGGGGTCCATGACGACAAATGTGTCTGAGTCATATAATGGCTTATTGAAAAAAGCTCGGGGGCTTCATGTGACTGCCATGGTTCGAATGACGTTCAAAACTCTTGTTGATCGTTTTGTCGAAAGAAACAACCTTGCAATCGCATTACTTCAAAGTAATATGCCGTGGCCTCTTGCAATAGATAAAAAATTTAATGATTATTATCAAAAAGCTCAAAGGCACACAGATATGATGACGTACAGCACTAGTGATGGAGTATTTGAAATTCTTACTTTTGTTCATGATGGTAAAGGTGGAAATGTCCACAAGGTTATTGCAGAAGGTAAGAAATGTTCTTGTGGAAAATGGAGAAATTATCATATGCCTTGCTCGCATGCCATTAAATTTTGTGGACTTCGTGGAATCGAGCCAAAGTCATATGTAAGTAAATTCTACAGTACAAAATATTACAAACAAACATACATTGAGACATTTACCCCAGTGGGTGATGAAATGTATTGGCCGCCAACTCCTTTTAATTTAATTGCAAATACTGAATATTTGCGAACATGTGGTATGCAAGTAAGAAGCCGACTTAAGAATGATATGGATATAGCTCCGGCTCGCATGGCTAGAAAATGCAATGTTTGTAAGGAAACAGGTCACACAAAGGCACCATGTCCTACTCGATTTTAAATATATTGTCTATATTTTTAAGATGAATGTAATTTTTGTCTTGTTATTAATATTATAATATATCGTTTTTAAATACTTGGGTACATGAATTTAATTTGTCTTATTGCATTTTAAATATATTGATTAAATTAATCTTTCAAGTAAGTTAAAAAGTAAAAAGATAATTTAATATTTTGTAAGTAACTACATTTATATTATAATTATATAATTGATTTGACCTCATTTTAAAAAGTATTGATTTGATCTAACATAAAAAGTATTAATTTGACATAACTTAAAGGAAAAGAAACATCCTGCAAATGTTGAAAATAAAAGGGAGAATCTCACTGCGATGACAGTAAATTTCAAACTCTTTGTTTAAATTTACACGAAACAACAAATTTCAACACACATAAAAATCTAATTTACTGCATAAAAATCTTTAGCCTTTCAAATAAAAATACATAAAAATTATTCTTCTGAGTTTTTCGAATCTTCTACGTCTTCATTTTCAGAATCTCTCTCATTTTGATAGTGACTACCTGTTCCACATCTAGTTGATTTGTGTAGCCTAGATGTTCTTCGAGGTGGATTTTCTCTATCAAAAATTGAATGTTGCGAAGCTTCAGCATTAAACCTTGGATCATGGGACACGGTTACCTATAATACAATATAATATAATATAATAAAATAAATATGCACAAAAAATTAAGAAAAAATTATAAAATTTCTATGAAAAATTCAACCTTACATTTGAAAAATTCAACCTCCCACCAAATGGAGTTTTATGTATAGGAAATTCACGCATACCATACTGAATACCATATTGAGATCCGCTGAATTGCGCAAAACCAGATATCGAAACATGTGGAGTTACAAAACCAACTGTTTCTTGACTTGAAAAATTAGTATTAGTGTTGGAGGGGCCTGCTGAAAAATCAAGCGTGGGATAATAAGGCTCGGGAGTAACCACCAAATGTGTGTTATTATCAACCAAATTATCTCTATCAATCAAATGATGCTCCGCACGATTTCGACCACGACCTTCACCAGCGCTCCTTCTACCTCGACGTGCACTATCTCTAGGTGTTGTTTGTCGCGATCGGCGAGATACTTGTACTAGTGGTGGTTCATCGTATTGAGTGGGAGGATTGTAATCAAGAGCAAAGCTCAATCGCGTTCCCTGGAATGCCGCATTCATTGACAACATTGAAATACGAGCGACTTCCTTCGCATATTGTCTCATTTCATTAGATTGATTTTCATCATTTTCAATCATCCGAGCTCGACGATACTGCATTTCATGACCCCTAGCCTATAATGAATAAAAAAATATTAATAACAAAAAAATTGTTAAAGATCAATATAATAATTTAAAATTTACATAATATACATACTAATGCCTCATGTCTTCCTGCCATGTGTTGATACCCTTTCTGTACAACATGTTGTGAATTTCCAATGAACATGTGGGAATGCCTCATGTACCAACGAAAGTAATCTGCTTGATCACTTACAAATGGAGATCGAAATATACGATTTTGACGTTGTTCCCATAAATATTGTGTGTAGTTAAACGCATCTATATCCTCTTTTTTATTTTGGATCGTTTATCACGCTTAAAATGATGTTCGAAAAACTGGGTACACGGTCCAGGAATATGTTGTAAATAACCAAACTGTCTCACAACACGATCAATCATGTGCCACTCACGATAAATTCCATAAATAAGTGGCACATGTGCCATCCAGACAGATTGTCCTGACCGACACCACTCAGGCAATCCATTAATAACATCTTCTGAATAAGGTTGCCAAATAAACTATAAAAAAAATGTAGGTAAGATAATTATTAATTTTTTTGACAAAAAAATAAAAACAAATATGTACACTAACTAAAACAATATTATGAAATATTTTTTTTGTACTATTATGTCATATAATATCTTATTTTGAGGACCTACCAAAAATCTACGTATATGTCATTATATTCACATGATTTTCTTAGATAGTGAGATATAAGTGTGAATAGTTAAAAATTTAAATAAAATGGGATACAAATATAAATAGTTAAAAATACTAATAATATTTAAATTCCTGATCATCAGTTAGATTATCTAGTACATCCCTAATCACACCGATTACAGTTCGTGCCTCATTTTGATGATTTCTACGTTGCGTCCATTTACATGCAAGCGCAGTTAAAACCTCAAGTTGATTGGTCCTTAGAGATTTCGGTAATGGTTGCAAGGGAATAATACGTTCCATGCCCAAATCTACAATAAATACAATTCAACATTTCTTAGAATACAATTAAAATTAAAAGTGCATATTACTAGTATATAAAAAATAATTAAAAAAAATGTATACCTGCACTAAAGAGAGAAATCCACAAACTTCATTTGATTGTTTCATTGATGCACGACAAAAACAATCATACAAATATGATAATGCGGCTGCTCCCCATGCTTGTGTTGACATTACATTTAAATTTTTCATGTCAATCAAAAGGTCTAAATTAAGCTTATTATTAGATTTATCTGGAAATATTGATCTACCACATAACCATAATAAATATAATCTAAACCTTTGTTGCACCTCACGCTCAGTTGAATGATCAATAATATCATTTAAACCTTCAATATGCTCAATTAATTTATATGTTAACAATCTACTAACACCAGAAAAACAATCATTATCGGGTGACCATCCGGTTAATTCAAACATCATTTCTTGTCTACCAAAAACTCCTAAAGTATCAGCGCCATTTAAAATTATAGTACTACCATCTATTACCATTCCGAACAAAATTTCTACATCTTGTAAAGTTATGATAGCCTCACCAGTTCGCATGTGAAAGGTATGCATTTTTGGATGCCACCTTTCAATTAAAGCAAAAATTAATCTGTTGTCATACGGCACACATCCTACATCAAAAATTCCTTTAAATCTACAATTTTTAAAATATCGACGAATGCGAGGATGTAAATGATGATATTTTATATGTTGCCAAAATTCAACATCACCGCGACGCGTATATAAGCAAGAATTCTCTTCCCTTAAGCTACCATTCCAAATTCCTTCGGAACGATGATGAACTTGAATTTTTAATACATCATACTCTATTGGACCAGGATGTACGTACATATTTGATGGATGCATATCTATATAGCAAATATAAAAATAAGTGTTACTGTTAATAGAATTATTTAAAGATGCATATATTCATTATACCATATAAAAGTTAAAAATTAATTAATTAAATATAAAATAAGTCCAAACTTACCTTATAGAGGAAGACTTTTGAATAAGTTTGAAAGGAGAGTTGAAAAATTATACTTGAAGTTTGAAGGGAGACTTCAACCAATTTATAAGAAAATTTTAAATGAAACACGTGAACTTTTTCTATTTTTTAGGCATGCATCTCAGTTGGATTTTTAAAAAAAAATATGACATGTGAATGTTTCAACAATTAAAAAATAAGAAATTTGGAAGGAAATTTTGCTGTTAGTTAATGACAAAAAATAAATTTAATACGATTTAAAAAAAATATAATTGGCAGCGATATTTATAAAAAAAATTCCACCAAAATCGCTTTATTTTTTTTAAAAAAAGTTTCCACCAAAATTGCTGCCAAAGCAGCGATTTCTAGAAAAAAAAAAATTTCCACAAAATTTATAATAACATTTAAAAAAAAAAACATTAACGAAAATCGCTGCCAGGGGCA